GTACCTGAAGTTTTGTTAAGTATGTATGATAACATATATTGCTATGACGAAACATAAGTTTTGTATGAGTAAACTGAATTGTATAATTCATGTTATTAAAACATTGTTTCAAAATCACTGAAATAATCACTTGATTTATATTTAAAGTTCCTCTTACGATTATGTGCATTTGGAACACTAATAAGTTTAAATAAGGTTTAGAAAGACATGGAAATAGAACTCCTGGTTTGTAGAAATGAAAGTGTTACATAGTTTGGGCAAGCACAAGGTCAAACTTTTTAATCTTGTCATCAGTAATACGTGACCACTTGACGACCTTTGTATTTCCTAAGAAACAGCAGTCTTGATGTCATACAGTCTGAAAGTTTTATGTATAGAATATCAAGTAAATGATAAGTGCTGCTATTATAAGTAATAGTAAAGTTAGACAGTAAGTCTTTCATTTATTATATTTATTAGTAGCAAAATTAAATCATACACAGAGGGTTAAATAAGCTTCTTTTTCAGGACAATGAAAGTATGTAAAGTAAGTTATTAGTTATAATAAAAAAACTGATATATGTTATAATAGTTGACTTGTGAAAGTGAAACAGCAGGTATCCTATGGAACATTGTCTGCCTAAAGTAGCACCATCTTTAGTGATGATAACATCTTCAGCCCATAGAAACACTGTAAGAAGTATGTACATGAAATGACATATTTTGTTAAGAACAATAATAAAAATCATAATTATAAGGATAAAAACAAACTAGTGAAAGTGCGTGATATTTGAATATTCGTCCTTTTTAGGACATAATTGTAAAAAAAGTAGAATTAAATATAGAAAATAAAACTATAATCAGTATGTTAAAACAAGATTGGCTGTCTCAATCAATATTTATAAAAACATTAAGTGGGATAAACACCTTTCAGCAGTAAGTTAAATGTGTTATAAACACTATCATCCTATAGAAACGCAAGTAAATGAAAAATAAAATGAGACATCTTGAAACCCGAATGTTGTCCTTTTGGAAGTATAGAAACATCTTTATAAAACGTACACAATTAAATGTAAGTTGAAATCTGTATGCAATCATGTTAAACACTATCCCATTTTGTAAGACCATCTGCCTATGGTAACACTATTCTATGAGACTGTTAGCCTTTATAACTTGTATTTAATGCTTTACTTATAAAGTGAAACTGTAAACACATGGAACTAGCAACAAGTTTTCTGGACAACTTCCATTGCCATGCCCACCTACCATGGCGGCTTAGCAACGCGCTCTTAGCAACACTCCCTCTGTTTCCAGTCATGGAACTATGACACCATCGTCACTGGTAACATCATCGTTTCTACCCTTTCCCTATTGCGCACCCTCTGGTGAAACTTCGTAGAACTATGATGTCATCATCTCTACCCTTCCCCTTGTGGTCAACTCACTTGTGACACCCTCTGGTAGCATGCCGCGCAGTAACTACCGATTTTCAGTGATAAAGTATAGATGAATACCTGGCCATTCTTTAACACTGCTGCAATATTTCTTCAAATGTTCTTTGGGCTATTTAGATCTGTACCTATTAAAACTGATAAATCTTTTGTGGTCAGTATTTTGGCTTCAGTTATGAGTCTGTATCGATTAATGGAGTTTAAGAATCTAGAATAATTTGAGAATTACACTATTATTAATATTTCTATCAACTGCAAATTCTGTTAAACGTTTATTATGTTGCCTTATAATGACATTCGCATTGGTTTTAACATAGCGTAAACAAAATTACTTGAGGGCATGTTAGTGTATAACTGGACAGGCCAAGCATTTAATTGTTTTATTGGTATATATATATATTAGTGTATAACGGGACAAACCACACAGTTAGTGGCTTTATTGGTATAACATGACAGACAGCTAGTAGTTTTACTAGTTTATATTAGTGTATAACGGGACACGACACACGGTTAATGGTTTGTTAGTACTTATTAGTGTATAACGTGATAGACCAGAAAGTTGGTGGTTTTATCTGCATGTATCAAGGTATAACGGAACAAACCACACAGTTAGTGGTTTTATTGGTATAACATGACAGACCAGACAGCTAGTAGTTTTACTAGTTTATATTAGTGAATAGCGGGACACGCCACACAGTTAATGGTTTGTTAGTACCTATTAGTGTATAACGTGATAGACCAGAAAGTTAGTGGTTTTATCAGTTTGTATTAAGGTATAACGGAACAAACCACACAGTTAGTGGTTTTATTAGTATACATTAATGCATAACAGGACAGATCAGTCATTTAATGGTTTTATTGATATATACATGTATATATATATATATATTTGTGTATAACGTGACAGACCACACAGATAGTGGTTTTATTGGTATATATTAGTATATAACGGGATAAACCAAAGAATTAATCGTTTTATTGGTATATTTAGTATATAACAGAACAGACCAAGGAATTAGTCGTTTTATTGGTATATATTAGTATATAACGGGATAAACCAAAGAATTAATCGTTTTATTGGTATATTTAGTATATAACAGAACAGACCAAAGAATTAGTCGTTTTATTGGTATATATTAGCATATAACAGAACAGACCAAGGAATTAGTCGTTTTATTGGTATATATTAGCATATAACGGGACAGACCAAAGACTTAGTCGTTTTATTGGTATATTTAGTATATAACGGGATAAACCAAGGAATTAGTCGTTTTATTGGTATATTTAGTATATAACAGAACAGACCAAGGAATTAGTCGTTTTATTGGTATATATTAGCATATAACGGGATAAACCAAAGAATTAGTCGTTTTATTGGTATATATTAGCATATAACGGGATAAACCAAAGAATTAGTCGTTTTATTGGTATATTTAGTATATAACGGGACACATCCCACAAGTAATGGTTTGTTGGTACATATTAGTGTATAACGAGAAAGGCATGACATCTAGTGGTTTATTGCTATATATTAATGTATAACGGTACAAACCATACAGTTAGTGCTTTTATTACTATTCATTAGTGTACAACGGGACTGATAGTGATTTTATTGGTATATATTAGTGTATAACGGGACAAACCAGAAAGTTAGTAGTTTTATTAGTATTCATTAGTGTTTAATGTGACAGACCAGACAGTTAATAGTTTTGTCATTAAATACTAGTGTGTAACATGACAGACCAGATAATTAGTGATTTCATTAGTGTATAACGGGACACGCCAGACAATTAGTTGTTTTACTAGTGTGTAACGTGAGATAGTTAATTGTTTTATTAGTATATATTAGTGTTTAACTTTGTAGAGCAAACAATTAATAATTTTGCTAGCATGTATTAGTGTATACAGGTAATGATTTTGTTAGTATATATTAGCGTATAACGTGATTGACCAAACAGTTAATTGTTTTATTAATATTAGTTGGTGTATAACGTGATATATCATATAGTTAACGTTTATTAGTATATATTACTGTATAACGTGATAGACCATTCAATCTGGTTTTAGAAACATATATTAGTATATAACGTTAACGACCAGACAATTAATGGTTTTACTAATATATATATTAAAGTATAACGTGACAGATCAGACCGTTAGATGTTTTGATATAATATATTCGGAACGTAGCAGGCTAGACTGTTAGGGCGTTTATTAATGTATAACACGACTGAACAGATCGTTCTATTATAATATACACTCTTAACAGTGGAAATTTACAACGTGAATTCATATTTATTACATATTAATTAGTTACGTGACAAAAAAAGAATAGATCTTTTCCAAGAACAGTTAAATCACTCATCAGTCACTGGTATTGCTGTCAGTTTGTTCGTTTATTTATTTCAAAACAGTTATTTGTTTTGAATTTCGCGCAAAGCTAAACGAGGGCTATCTGCGCTAGCCGTCTCTAATTTAGCAGTGTAAGACTAGAGGGAATGCAGCTAGTCATCACCACCCACCGCCAACTCTTGGGCTACTCTTTTACCAACGAATAGTGGAATTAACCGTCACATTATAACGCCCCCACGGCTGAAAGGGCGAGCATGTTTGGTGGGACGAGGATTCGAACCCGCGACTCGCAGATTGAGAGTCGAGCTCCCTAACCACCTGGCCATGTTTCAGAACAAAGCCACATTGCGATATCTGTTGTGTCCATCGCGGGTAATCTAACCCCGGATGTTGTATGTTCGTAGACATTCTGCTGTCCCACCAGGGGACGTCAGTTTGTGCCTGTGATGTCCAGTTCAAGGTCACCTTAACTATGTAATTAGAATCACATAAAATAAATTGTTTAAAAAAGGGGGCGCTCCAAACCTTCACGATAGTTAATTTGGATATTCACAATTCATGGGATTACATGCAGACTTATTTCTCTTAATAGGATTATAATACATCTGTTGCTATGGTAACTAGTCATGTGCTCGCAGAAGCGACGTTAACTTCCTAGCTTATATGTCATCCAGTCAAACGCAACACGGTTCTGTTCTTAAACTCTAAAGTTCATGATATCAGTAAGGAACATCTTTAATTCTGTTGACTGATTAGTAAATTTGTGTCAGCGTGCTGTAAGTCATTATATATGTTTGTGTTAAGTGTGCTGTAAGCCATTATTTACTGTCGGTTGATAATATACCTCAGAAACTGCCCTATAATTATTAACAGCTATCGCCATGAAATCTGCATTATTATTCGAACCTGATAAGGTTATAGACCAATAAATTTAACGTCACGTGCGGAACATGACTAACTTTTACAGGCAAATCTTACAGTCTCCTATGAAAGTTATGCTAGAAAACCGAAGTTTAGGTAGAAAACTGAATACAAGAGATATAATACAGTGATGATATTACTAATGTGCAAAACATTAACAAAGCTTAAAAAATTAAAATTCATATAAATGTAAATCACGTGAATGTTTATTAACAACAGTTGAGATATTTCTGTATCTGAGTAATTCAGTTTTATTTTTAATGATTTTTTTTCTCTTTACTTTCTGTTTAAATCTAGAATTCCTCGCCGGCATATCAGAAAAATTATTTAGGGGTCACTTTTGGAAGCCATTTCGGAATGAAGTCATCTAAGTCACCAGCAGTTTCTGAGAAGTCCAGCTATAATGGACTGAGCCCGCTGGACAAGTCGACCAGTCTTCCTAGTATATCTATAAAAAAGATACCACATAGCAAGCATCATAAATTTCGAGATGATAATGTAGTAGGAAGTAGTTACAGCAACGGTCATATCAGTCATGTGACGTCATCTACAATCGCCTCATCTCTTCCCGTGTTGAACAACAACAAGCAACATGGTTTAAACTACACAGATACGTTGACCACCAGCACTGACACTCAGTTTTGTCGTCATCTGTTTAGTTACACTGGACGAAGCCAGGACGGACTTTCTACGAAAAGTTTGTCACTAGATGGCAGCACGGAACAAAGTTTAACTCATCTGAAATTTGATTTACCCGGGGACTACTATCACACAGAACAAAATTCCCCATCCCACACATATCTTGACCCATATGGAAAAAGCCTTCCCCTCAGTCCACAGGGTAAATTTTTATTTATTTATTGAACATAATAAATCTTAGAGAGGTTTATAACTTAACAAGACTTGCAAGTTACAATCGTTGATGCACAGAGTAAAACCTGAAAATACTTGCAAGTAATACTCCTTGGAATAATAGATAGTCGCATTTCGTAAGGTTGTAACTAATCCTTATTAATTCCTAGAATAAGTAGTCAGTTTTAAGCACTTGAAATAACTTCTCTTGGCTCATGGGATAATTACCTTTGAAGATTTCTTTATATTTCTTTCGTCTGTAGGGTCATCAATCTTGTAGGTTTTTGGGCATTTCTTTTTTTATCCACAAGGAAATTAACTTTCAAAACTTGTGAAAAATACCTCTTAGCCAACAGCGTAAGTATCTTTGAAGGCGCTCCCAGCGGTAAGTCTGAAGGTTTATAACGCTAAAAACAGGGTTCTTATACCCATAGTGGGCACAGCACAGATAGGCCATTGTATATTTTTGCACTTAACAACAAACAAATACAAAATATTAGAAGACTTGTATGTCACATATTTTTTTCTCCACAGAATAAACCCGTTACAGCGCTACCTATGATATATATATATATTGTAACTGTATTCTATATGTTAACAACTAGCAAAGCTGTAACCTATATGTTTTCTCCTGCCTGTGTGTGTATGAACAAACTTACTTTCTGCCAGTGTTGTATATGAATTACTCATTACTCCACTGATAAATTATGTTTAAGGGCTCCTACATGATATTCAGTCTGCTAAATAGTTAATTTAGGAGACATGTTATAATTAAAGATTAGTTCACGAAGTTTCTACCTTTAAAGACTTTTAATAAATCGATATTCCATGTTAAATAGTAATCTTAATAGAAGATATGCAGTTAAAGATTTAGGCATATATTTTATGTCAAAATAATCATATTGCAGTGACTGTCTGTTTGTTTGAAGTTCAGCACGAAGCTACACAATGAGCTATCTGTGCTCTGCCCACAACGGATATTGAAACCCGGTTTCTAGCGTTGTAATTCCGCTAACATGCTGCTGTGCCACTGGAGAGCACAGTGACTGTCAACGACGCCCATAACAATATGGACTTTTTAATTAGAAATACTCACATTTTTGCCAAAACAACTGTCACAGTAACATTTTAAATTAGACTAAATAGAAGTAAATTAGCGTACACCTCTGTCCTTTAAATACTTTTAGAGAAAATATTGTTTATCCACACATTTTATCTTATGATAATTTATTGAGTAAATTTAATTTTACCAGTTTGATAAATAGAAGGAGAATAGCAAGACTTATTTATTTACATAAATTTTTAAACAGTTCTATTCATGTAAACTTTGACGTTAACCAAGCCAGAATTAGATCAAGAAATTTATCTTCCCATTTATAATACGAACAATCAATTAAACTCACCACTTTTCAGACCATGTACTCTGTTTTATTTTCTTATTTTGCAAATGGACTTAGATCTTTGGTTTATTTTTTAAATATTTTTTTTTTCTTTGCGATTGACAAGTTTAAGTTTCTTATAGTTTTTGGTATATTTTACTTTTTTATAATTTGTTTTACTTTTATAATTTTATGTGTATCATATTATTATTTTTGTATTTTTGATTTTTATGGTGTCTGTAATAGGGGGACACCTCCTGGAGACACTACAGTTTTATTTATTTTAAAACATATAGTCATTATATCTTAGTTTTAAAGACGAGGAATTGCCCCTCCCTAAGTATGTGGTATTCTCATGTGAACTGATTTCCGTACGAGTATCAGACAGAAAATCGGTCAATAACAGGAGGGTCGACAGAGTCATCTATGAAATAGTCTGCATTTGAAAACTTGATTAAGTTTTTGGTTTTCAAAATAATGAGACTGGATAAGTTTTGAATAGGACAAATACAATCTTTATCATGAAACAAACAAAGGAAACGCAGCATACGTACATGTAGATACACGACCACAGTCGATTATCTCATAGGTGGTGTTTAGTTCCACAGCTTTCACATTCTCAGGATTAACCTTTGTAGAACCAAAATACTATGATCTCAGATATGATCTTTACTCGAAGGTCTCGTAGTAAAACTAAAACAAGAAAGCGCACTTCAATTCAACAGGTAAATTCGTTTTTCTGTCAAGACGATAGCGTCATTTTGTTACCCTTACCCTCTCACAACATTTGCTGGCTGTTACATAAAGATATCATCCATTCTACCAGCAAAGTATATTACAGTTAGTGATCCTTTTAACACAGTTGTGCGATGCTACTGCAATATCCCCTCGGGTAGGATAGATGTTATCTACTATAGAGAACAAAGGAAAACATAAACTAGAACAAAACAATTTCATATGTTTATGCCAAAACTGCATATAAACTAAATAAACGAAAAAAAAATCCTATATAATTAAAAGCGGGTATCGAACATAATATATACTACATATTACAAATAGACAGTGTACATAACTTCTCTAAACTTATATTTAACAACAAAACACTGAGTCAACCGGACCAACTGTGTAGTTGTTTATAATAAAATAGGGCCCACACGACGCCCGGAGGGATTTGTAGAGTTTGATCTGAAGAGTCTTTTGCAACGGCTTTTTGTATGTATATAGTGCTCGTAGTGGTTTTCTATCTCCCCAAGGTTAACCATTCTCATTGCTTTGAATTGAAAATCTAATTAATGAACTTAATTGGACTTATGCATCTACAAATATGATTAAGATGTATTTTCAAACTAGGTATAAAATAACTTTTGTTTCGTTTGTTTGTTTGTTTTAAGTTAAGCACAAAGCTACACAATGGGCTATCTGTGCTCTGCCCACCACGGGTATCGAAACCCGGATTCTAGCGTTGTAAGTCTGTAGACATACCGCTGTGCCACTGGGGGGCAACTTTTCTTTCAATTTAAAGACATGCCAAAAGCAAGACTGCCAAGTTCACTTATTTCCCTGACAACCCTGGGCTGTAAAAGGTATGCATTCATTGGTTGTTTTTTCTTCTAAATCTCAGTTAACCTTGTGAGGATTATGACCCAGCACAATGGTGGTTCCTTTTGTGTGTCTACTCTTTATGCAAATTCGGGATACTTTAATACATGTATAGTCTTAAGATAAAGCGAAATGTTACACAATATTGTGGATATTTCTTCACGGTCTTATTAGTATTTTACAGGTTTTTAACTAAAGATATACATCCCGAACACTGAAATTTGGCAAAATAATCACAATACTTTTCTCTCTTTCTCTGTTACACACACATACACACACTTCTGGCTTGGGCTCCACACTAACTTGACTAACAGAGTTATAATATAAAAGTATTATAAAATCTTCAGTATTATAGAGACTTTATTCTTCACCAGATTAGGCGTTATATACCACAAAATTAACATATCCCAAATCCTTTGTATATGTCGTTATTAATATATTTCGACGTGACTAACACTTACTGTGGTACGTAGCTTTGCTTCTGACTGACTCACCAGTGGCTTTTCACCAATAAGTCAAATAATTCTTTTTGGAAATATAACAGATCAATTATCTCTTGTGCGCAAGTGAATTTGCAATGATATTCTGGTTTGTAAAAGTAAAACATTTGTTGTTCTATATAACAATGCAACACTTGACCTTTTTATTGTGTCTTATATTGTACTATCCTGTTCCTTGGGAGTCTTATATCTGAGTTATTTTATATTCACCCACACCCACATCTCAATATCTCTTAAAATATTTCTTGGGCTACTTCATGTCTTAGGTCATCATCTGTTTATTTCTAAACTTTAATACTTAGATTCAAATAATTATCAGAATGGCACCAAAATTTAATAATTTATTTATTTCTTCCTTATAGAAGCTCTAAAGTACTACTTTTCAAGGTTATGTCAGTTCGAACGAACGGAAGTGACGCAATACCCGGAAGTATGGTATTTAGGTCTGGAAGCTAGTAAAATAGAAGTTGATGATGGAGCGGCACACAACAACGGCTACGATGATGAAAGTGGATCGTATATTAAGGTTAGTTTTAATGCACGAAGATTAAGTATGTACATGCAGACAAAAAAGTTACTCGAAAAATTCGAACCCATAATATTTTCACTTCTCAAGAACGAAAAACTTCCCCTTCTAGTCGTGTTTATGTATAATTTTATTTTGCAACGGGATTAGTTTGTAACCATTCATAAGGAGTGGGTTTCTTTGTGCACATGTTGTATTATGAGTGAGTTTTCATAATTTTGTAATAACTTAAGTCATGTGGATAAAATGTTGTACATTGTGTTTTTATTAAGCTATATTGCAGATAATGTAATGCTTATTTAATTAGTAAAGTATTTACGCCTGAATATGAAACCTTATTTGTTTGTTATGAGCGTCACTTACATCGTCAAATGTAAGATTGTTGTTGTTGTTTATTAATTTTCACCCCAAAACTACCCAAGAGTTATCTGCTTTAGCCATTCCTATATATGAAATGATAAACAGTTAGTCACTACTATTCACCACTAATTCGTGAGCTACTCTGACGGAATAATGGGATTTAACCATTACTTATAACATACCCACAGTCCCAAAGTGAAGAATGAATATTTTAAAAAAATTTTGGCGTTAACGAGCACGAACTAAAAGTAAAGAATTGCTGCTGTTTCATTGTCTTTCTTGAGTTTTGCAAATTAACGTAACAATTATGTAATATTTTTATATTCATATATATATTTATTTATTACCAGGTGCTCCATGACCATATCGCTTATCGTTACGAGATCCTAGAAGTAATTGGTAAAGGATCTTTTGGGCAAGTCATCCGGGCACTTGATCACAAAACAAACCAGCAGGTGGCAGTGAAAATCATTCGAAATAAAAAAAGGTAGGCTTAGCTCGAAAATTGTAAAAAAAAAAAAATATTAAAACGGACAGCTGGATTCCTTCTTCTAACAAGAAATTGAAAGTACACGATACTTAGGAAGCTAAATCTTAAAGACTCATTCTTTACAATCACACTTGAAACAAGAAACATTATTATTATATTGTATTGTAATACTAATTGACGCTTATGAAATGCAATGAGAAGAAAGAATCTGTCATTTTCTCCCGATTGTTCTCCTTGTATAAACAGTTATAGCAGTTATATAGATTTCTACTATTACCGGTGAAAATAATAAGTGTTGTTATGGTTTCTATTGTTGCCAGGTTCTTTTTAACTATTCAGTAAATATAATACAAAGACAACCCACTTAACGATAGTGAAAGCGATTTATTTTTTTGACTGTGTCGTAAAACTTTTACAGGCTACGTTTGCTGATAGGTCCAACTGAAAAGTGAAACTATACAGTTACTTACTTGCTAAATTTCCTCTCGTATCTAAGACAGAACTCAAAACTGACTATTTGATACACTCGTTAATATATCGATAGTACAGTAATAGATTCACCGAATTAACTCTCTTGTTTTCATATATCACAATATTATTTTCCCTAAACCTCCCAACAATTCGAAACTTCATGTTAGATCTAAACATTCAGAAAACTTCTAGAAGTTACACATCCTCATTACGTCATGTTAAAACTTCTAAAAACTAAACTTCTGAATTACGCACTAAAAATATAACCACCTATAACACTGCCTTCTCTCTGGATAATGAAGTTCCTTAAACAATCCTAATATACAAATAAACCCATAATATATTAAGTTTAAACTTTAATAATTAGTAATAAATTTACTATTTACAATTAACAGTATTTGACATTCATAAATAGACATTGAAACTACTAAGTCATTAATTAAACATGTTAACTAAAGTACAATCTCAATTCTGAGTAAGAAAACAAATATTGTCTGTTATGTTATTTACTGCCTTTAAACTGTCCATTCACCAACACTTTTTGAAAGTTTTCTTTTCTGTGGTTTATGAGATGATCCATTATCCTTTATCTTCATTTACTGTCTGGCCTTGGGGAACTCTCTCCAAGTAGATGGTCGAGAGAATTCACTGGTAACCCTATCCTTGATGATACTCTGGAATTGATCTGTCCAGGAACTTTGAGCCATCCAGAAAGTTGACTTACTCCTGGTAGTCTTCATTGAGGTAAAAAAAATGGCTGTCCAAAGATAATCACATTAGGCAAATTTGGGTTTTGACAACTTATTATCCTTGAATTTGTTCTGTTACACTACATGTCGGCTGTCTTCATTACCTTGTGCACCCATCTTTATCATTACTTGAATTCCAACCTTTGGTGTTATAATTTTTATATACTCCATGAAGGTTTCCTGATTGTAGACTCTGAAGCTAATGTAACCTCACATCCATGTTGACACATGAAATCAGTACTCAATACCCAATACTCTTCCCTGATGTCAATTATCCACATATCACGTGGTGTAGAAGGTTCCCTTAATGAAGGTGACTTCCAACTTTTGTTTTGCTGGAACTTAGTACTCAGTTGATGTTTGCATCTTTTTTTTTTATCTCTGGAGGCAATTTCCTACCTTTCATTAACAGTTTGTGTCAAACCGTTGTAGTTGTACGACCAGTGTCGATTCACGTACTCAATAAACCTGTTGATTTGTGAGCTTAAAATAATACACTCCTTATTTCTTTTGGGGTAGTTGGAGTATGCTCATTCTCAAGATATCATCTCCTTGGTTCATTAATAACGACTGATTTATCACAGTCTTGAAGTTAATATAAATATTTTCACACGTATAGCGGTTTTCATCTCCTGTTACTCTTAGGGAAAGTTTCTAGCAATATGTTCTTTCAAGGTACAGTTGGGACATCTTCTAATCTGTGATTTACTTCCTTCATCCTGAGTAAATAGCTTTCTAATTAAAGGTTTTTGTGTGCAGTTCCTAGCAAAATACCCTTTTGAGCTCAATTGAAACACCTTCTGTCATATGATTTACATTTTACCATTATGAGTTAACAGTTGTTTAATGAATCATTTGAATTCTTTGAGACCTTTCGGAGAGTTAGTGTTTCTATACTATTTAATCTGATAAGTTCATAATTACTAGATGGTAAATTCAGTTGTTTATCTACAACTCTAATGGATCCAAGTTCCATCACCGACTGAACAATGTCTTTTAAAAAAGTGTATGTGCTTTGCTTTAACCTAATTCACATATCCTCGTCTGTTATGACATCTATGAATTGAGTACGGGACAATGAACCACTCATTTTACATAGAGCATATGGATAAGATAACTGGGTAAGCCTTTACACATATTTCATAAGTTAAGTCAAAGTCTTCTCCTTACTCTACTCCTAAACTTTGGTTTGGAAACTTCCTTCTAGTGTGTTGTTTCAAAATTATTTGATAAGGCAGCCACCAATACTCGATAGTTGTTATGGTTCTCAGCTGGAAAGTTACTTAATGTTGTTAAAGCTGGTCTTTTTACTTATTTATTGTTCACTATTCCATCCATTACCTTTAGAAATTATTACAAACTGAGTTTGATATGCTTGTGACGGTATTTTCGCATCTTAATTTGTTGGTTTCTCAATGGGCAATGCTGTTGAACTGCCAAACGAAGTTTTGGAACTGGATTATGTAATAATATAACTGGAATATTCCAAGAAGATTCTGCTGTTAGATGACAAGCGTTAAAGTAATATTTATAAATCCAATGGGTTCTTCTTGACATTATTTGCTTTCTCTTTAATTATGCTGTTATGATCTGTCTACACTTTATAGATGTCCTTTTTCAATTTTGTAATTACAATGTTACTACACTTCATACATGTTTGTTTTTTACTTTGTTGGTGTTTTTTTTTGCACATAACTAGTAGTTTTTGTCATTTTTCTTATTTTGTTGTTATAATCCCTCTATATATATCTACATTAGCTTCATTGATCTTGTCTTCAATCAAATTATTTTGTTCTTAACCCTTCTTTAAATATTACGTGTCTTTCTTTTAATTCCACTTTTAAATTAATATCTCTTACTTCTTGATCTATTTTTAATTTTTTTATAATTTTTTGTTACTCTCTTCTAATTTTCTACCTCTTTCTTCTTTGTTTTGTTTCAATGTTCTGTAAATTTCTTCTTGTTCTTCTTTTAATTTCTTGTTTCCTTCTTCTTGGTCTTCTTTTAATTTCCTGTTTCTTTCTTCTTGATCTTCTTTCAGTTGTCTGTTTCTTTCTTCTTCGCTGAGGCGTTTTTAACACTTCAAACTACTCGATGAAATTTTCTTAGGCGGCCCTTCGTACTGATCAGCTATGGATATAGAAATTTATAAGATTTTGCAATACTTTGGGGGCACGCAATACGAGGGACCCGTCGGTGCATTGCCCCAATTGGTCCAATGCTAAATACGTCACTACTTCTTGTTCTTTTAATTTTACTTTCCACCGGTTCATTATTTCCAGCAAGTTTTCGATCTCGTTTTATGCACCTGCCGTCATCTTGAAGTTTTTCTAGAGTCTATTTTATTTTTAACAAAATAATCCCACTCCTGATACGAATGTTGTTATGTTTTCTGTGTTTAGTAGGCTATTTTATATTATTTGGTAAAAAATGATGCAATAACGAACTATAACGTATAAGTTTTACAAGTTACGTTCGTTGATAGACTTAACTCACCAATAAAACTAAACAACCATTTACGTGTAACAGTTCCTCTGGTATCTACAACATAACTTAAACTGCCTGAATAACATACTCGGTGATCGATCGACACCGCAGTAACAGACTCATCAGCTGGCTCACTGACTAACTGCATAATTCACTGATTAACTCTATTTTGTTCTTATATATATATATCACTAGTTTTCCAAAAAAAACTTCTCATCAAATATAAACATTCTGGAAACTTCTAGACGTCATAAGTCATCATTATGTCATGCTAAAACTTCTTCTACCAAAGAAAACATCTAAATTATAATATTAAACCCATAACCTACAAAAAAGGTTATGCTATTTTAAACAGATATTTTTCATGCTTTGAGTACTATAAACACATTGAACACACTCATTTTCTTGCATGAAATAAAAAGAATAATGCTAAATGATTGCGTGATTTGTTCTAATGAGTTGCTACGCAGCAGTTTTATGTGATTTTCTGATGAAAGAACTTCAGTTCTGTGGTGAGAAGTGGGTCTATAATATGACATCATCTGGACAGCAGAAATTACGCATTATGATTTCATGGATTCCGCCGGTCTTGCTTTTAGCCCCCCCCCCAGTGGCACAGCAGTATGTCTGCGGATTTACAATGTTAAAAACCGGGTTTCGATACCCGTGGTGGGCAGAGAACAGATAGCCCATTGAGTAACTTTGTGCTTAACTATGAACAAACTTGATTTTAGATAGTTAAACCTTTTATATAATAAAATGTTTTGTAATATTTGTGTTTTATATACAATATCTGCATTTCTTAAAAGTTGAAACAGTGAACTATATAACTTCTGTTTATCCATCCATATATTCTGTAGGTTCCACCAACAGGCTCTAATAGAAGTAAGAATCCTAGAACATCTCTGTAGTAAAGACAAAGATGGCTACCACAATGTTATTCGCATGTTAGACCATTTTTACTTTCGAAACCATTTGTGTATATCCTTTGAACTTATGGGGTAGGTAAAAATCTTAGTTCACTTCTACAAGACAGCAATTGCTACTATACAAACATGACAATTATAAAAATAAAGCTGTAATACAAATATCTATCTATCTATATATATATGTGGGTGTGTGTTATAAAAATATAGCCCAAAACAAATATAACCCATTAGAAATATAGTTACATTACAAATATAGATTTAATAGAAATATAGCTACAAAATAAAAAAATTGTCTACAGTATAAATATAGCTACAAAATAATTATAACTGCAACAAAAATATGCCTTGTGATACAAATGTAGTTAAAACAGAAACATTGTCACAATGAAAATTTGTCCTTAAAAGGAATATAATTATAATAGAAAATGGCTACAATAAAAATATATATATACATACATTTGTTAAGGTGTGAGCATTTCTTGCTAGCGAAGTGTGATAATAAGTAATTCAATTTGTCATAAGACAATAAGTATAATAAAAAAAATAATTTTATAAAGATAAGTAGAGTTCGATATATACGTAACCTAGCTAGCTATAGTAATATAGAAATTTTAATGCTACAAAAAGTATTGGAACAATAAAGTCAAAACTAGAAAATTGAGTTTCGTAAAATTTAAAAATTTATATCCCTGCTTTAGCCAAAGTAGGATATAAATTTGTTTGTAAATTTTAAGTAACTCAATTTTGTAGTTTCGACTTTCTTGATTCAATAGTTTTTGTAGCATTAAAATTTTCTATATTAATGTAGCTAGATAGGTTAAATATATATCGCTCCCTACTTGTCTTTATAAAATTTAATTTTTTTATGATACTTGTTAATACTATGTCTTATGACAAGTGTAGTTGATCAGGAATACAAATACAATATAAATCTATTTACAAAAGAAATATAGGTATAATACAAATATAACAAAACTAAAAATATTGATTGGGATGCAAGTATAGATAAAATATAATTGTTATTACAATACAAATCAGGCTACTATAGAAATATGATAACCACGTGGTATTTCTCGTAACACAAGGAACAGAGGACTTTTACTTTTAGAATTCAGCAATATCTTACAAAATGAAATGTAAAACTAACTTGTTACCAAATCCAAAGAGAAAATACATTTAGTGTTTTTCTGTCTGTATAAATGTTATAACATATAGTGATTTGTGTGTTATGGAATATATAACCTTTACTTAAAATACAAACAAATTATTTATTAGTCAAAAGACATTTACACTTAATTAAATATTTATTGACTTGGTTAGAGAGGTTAGATCCTAAAAAAAATATTTACAGCAGCTCAAAGGCCATTTTATTGGCTGTTGAAAACAAACTAACAAACTTTAGACAACTTAACTTGATTTTCCTTCACAGTTAAATCGTTATTTAACTTTAAAATAAAACAAACAAAGCACCATTACAGCTTAAAGACGAAAGGCTAAAAGTCTACCAAACCGTTTTAGTAAAAAACTATAGTTAGCTGTTGAACCACACATCTTGCCCAGTCAGAAAGCAAAGGAACAGTGCAAGAAACACTCGTAATTCAGTAATACAGTATATTCTACCATTAATATTGTTACGACAGCGGAAGTCACGCGACGCTGGGAGCATGCACGCTGGAGTTTCTAGAAGGATCATGACTTATCGAGGAACCTCGCGAATGTCCCAGTGTTTGCTAGACGCCCCTTTTTTTAGTATATAAGCCTGGCGAGTAAAACCAGCGCGACAGGCAGATAGATACGCAGATAAATTGAAGATAGAAATAATTGTGTCAATCGAACAGTAGGCACCGTAAGTAAAGTGTGTGAACCACTGTGATTTATGGC